TAAATGTATCGGTAACTACAAACTAACTCTCTGAAGAGCAAAAAAGGCTACATCAATACCGAGGGCCATGGAATACTTGGTTCACTCGAGACTACGAAATTACTTGCTACTTATTTGTACCTGAAAGACCCGTGGTCATAAGTTGACCTCTAGCGATTGTTCATATGTTGGCATGCACTCTCGTCTTCTCTGTCATTTGAGACAACATCTTGTTTATTCATCTGCACTACTTTACAGTTTTAAATAGCATGTTCCTGACGTCTGCATTTATCTTGAATTTGGTCCTCTGTAAAGTTACGTTGACATATCATTGGCGTGTCTCAACCATCTACTAGTTGGTCAACAGGCTAGAAACGAAGGTAAAGAAGTCAGCTTCTAATTTGATCGCTGCACTAAATCGGCATTACACACTCTCTCTCTCCTTCACTCTTCCACAATTTCGCTAGTACAATGCACTAATCACAGTATTTCTCTCAATATTAGCGGTTCGGATGAATATCGTATAGCTTTTTCCCTGGAACCTATATCGGTCGACATCTTTGTGAATACAAACTTGTACAGGATTGCGCAATCGTTCGAAAATAATCACTTTGATCTGTACACATCAAATGATTCGTAACTAATCCGTACAAGTTTAGAATTTCAATGGACAAATTTGGCTTTCGTATTCTTCATTTAAACATACTAATGGGAGCAAATCATCCCTTTGAACAGCTCATGTCTTTCACGTGTAGTCTACTTATTTATTTCAAATCTAATATACTTGGCTATTAATGAATGAGATTTGGCGTTCATTTACTGATTACCATTGAAATGGTCTCCTTCAAAATCAGTTCCGCAAAAATTTGGACATCAATATCGAGTGCCATAGGATACTTGGTTCACTAGAGATTACTAAGATTATATACTTCTGTTTTGTGTTTGAAAGTGTAAAACAGGAGTGTGCTATCACAGTTATAATCTGGGGTGGGAGTACCAGATCGATCATTGTATTCGTACGTGAGCTTGTTTTTGATGCAACACAAATTAGCCTCCATTAAACATTGACGGCCATGTTGCACAAAATAGTTTCGAGGATACTCACTTGCTCATTAAGCAATTAGTAGCACGCCTCACATTCCACACTGCTCGAATGCGCATAAAATGTCTTTGTTCAGTCCTCTCTAAATTTTAAAATTCGTGGTCTTATTTCATCGACAGATTTTCATGTAGATAGGGCTCATTCACTTCAGGTTGCCACCTAGGTTCTATCCTACAATGGGATTGCTCAAAGGCTGTGTGTACGTTGCAATTTCCATGGCTAATAGCACACAGACTACAAAACTTCTTTCCTTAATTCACAGCCTATCAGGTCAGTGGACGCTGATTTTGAAGTGCATTCCAATTGACGACCAATCAGTATATTTCTTCGTTGCCTGACAAGCCAATACATCCTGCCTCAAACACAATACTTTAAATAACTGAATCAGAACATTTTTATGTACTGTGCACTCCTTATGAATGAAGTGTGAGCACAGTTGTATCTCATTTAGTACTTCTCTTCAAATCTACGACTATTGAAATGAATACCTGATATAGAATGGAAACCAAAATGGTTAGAGTTGGTGGCTTTGATTTCAAGTGCTAACTGGCCACGACCTTCAAATTTTTAATGTCCTCGTGAAAGATTAATTCCTCATCTTTAAACACAAAAACCAATTTAAATCAAAAGAGTAATTTTAATCATTTCAATTTTCGTCACCGATTCACATAATTCGTATTTCACAGTCAACTTTTACCCTTTCAATTGTTTTTACTTTTTAATTTAAATCCTAAACTTGACATGCTTCGACTTCATTCCATAATTCAAATTTGTAAAATATAATAATGCTATGACAAAAAACCGATATACAACATAACCATCCTGATATATGCTCTCAATTCAAAGCATGTTCCTTAATTGATCGCTGATCGAATGTAATGCATTTTGAACCGATATTGAAGATTTTTGATTCGTGGATTAACGTTCCCTCATTACCTATTATTACAAAGTCTGAACAACATACCAATTTTTTCAAATTGATTTGAGTTGTCAAGCCACATTTGTTTTATGTCCTTACTTTGTCGAACAAGGGAACGAGAGATCGCAACATCATTGACAAAGAGTTGTAGTTGATGCCACAGTGACATTTAACCCTGTTCCTAGTTGACTTGACAACAAATTTGCAAAATCAGACCATCTCATTGATACTCAATCCTGAAACAACTTATCGTACTTTAGAAAATTTGCCATGTCTTCGACTGTCATTTTTGAACGCTATCGATAACTTCAAGTCATTTTTGTTGACATGATGATAAGACATATTCCCACAAATTCGATTAGGTTAAAATTCTCATAATTGGGCATAACAACTTAATTGACTCGAAATTAAGTGGAACAGGCATTGGTCAAATCAGTTTGGGGTGATTGAGTACACTTCAATTGCATGACTGGAAGACCAATCAAATAAAATACACCTAAACGAAAAGCTAGAATGGTAGAATGAAGAATGCTAAAGAATTACAAACTGTCAGCTGCTACCAACACCCAGAAGTCATTCTGTCTCCCTTTATCTCATGTCTGTTTTTCCACTTTACGCACCATTCCGATTTGTCATAATTCTCCTGCCATTGTGTCATTATACATCACCGTCTGCAACCCTAATTTACAAGAGTAACACTAATTCACACTCACAGATCATTTGTCTCTAGCTTGTATTTCGTGTTTCCCTTCTTCTTTTCACTTCTTTCAAATGTGTCAGGAAATTAAAGAAAACACGGACATCCATAGATTAGGTCTAGCATATTCAGTGGTGGTACAGCTCCAATCTCTCAGTATATAATGGGTCATTTATTTGAAGATGCCAGAAGATTCTTTTCCACCTATTTGCAAACAGAATAACTTACTGGCTTTGAGTATTTCATCAAACCTCTGGTATTTATCGATCATCTTTGAAACCCAATATTATTTCCTCACATAACTGAAAGTCAACATTCTCGCCAGTGAAAGGGGAAGGGATTTACGTCTTCTAAAAGTTCACCTGAACTTCTAATCCCTTACATATAACACCACTTGTCGTTAATGATAAATATACTTTTATATCTCATGTCCTTTAAAATTAATAAACTTTTGATTCTTTATTTTTTCACTGAATTAGCTATTTGCGACTCTATAACCAGTACTAATTTTTTACTCTTTTCCAGTCCGAAATTTGAGATTTGTCTATATGAATTGTTAATTTTTCTATGTAATAGCAACGACTCCTTCCGATGATTAATTTACTACTTACGTCTATTGAAATTAGGTGGGAATTTATTTTGAACAAATAAAAATTTAATTCTTCTGATTTACACACCCAGTTCACATAAATATCTGTTCATTATTGGTGTGGAGCTCACAACACTGTCCTTGGTGAACAGAGGTATCTCAAGTGCACTCAGACAGTCTCGAAGGTGCGACAGTGCGACTTCGAGCAGGGAGAAAAGTCTGCCAACAGCCAACCAATAGTTCTTGCATAGTTTGGCAACCCCCATCTCCACCACTCAAAGGAACGTAGTGTCTAAGCTCTCTTTGCATAACACATTTCTCAGCTAAACGTATTTCACAAAGTGGGACTCAGTTCAATGCTAGTCAGAGTACCTTCAATGCCAGTTCAATTTACATTTGAAGAGATCTGGAAGGTCGCAACTCAGCAAACGATCTTTTACGTGGTTATCGACAAATGTAATGAAAATCCAAACGAATTCCCCATTGGAGTATTTTCAGGACCCTCACACTATGTGAGAGTGGTGAGAACACCCATTCAACTACCAATTAAGAGACCATAATTGATTCAGCAGAAAACTGACTTAGCTCCCTGCCCGTGACACACTTTTCTAATTAATGATCTTCTCTATACGTCAGTTCTCGCATTGGTATTTTGTCAGATAGTCTGGTATTGGGAGCATTTTTAAATGTGGAGAGGAAGATTTAGAGCTAACTGAGGATAAGTCTTATTATTATTATTATTGGCTTACGCATGTCTTAGCAGGATCCAACGTTGGGACATGCAAGTGAGTCACATATCGAAAACTGTCATAAATATGTATTGGTACGCAGTTTTGCCTTATTAAGCGTTTGTTACGTAACGTTTCATAGGCATGAAAGGATATAATGAAATTATAAAAAAGCCAAAAAACCGAAGGAGATCGGGAAACGTTCGGATTGATACTGGTGAGATCAGGGTAATTCTATTATAACCCGTTACCTCTACTTTTCAATGAACAACTCTGGATCCTCCCACCCAAAGATGGCTTCCACCTTCTCGATGATCAAAAAAATGGATTGTGGTGCGTTAAAGGCGGTTATATAGCTTCAAACATTAACACTGTTTAGTAAGATGACTGTCAATTCCATGGCTATTGATTAGCAATCAGAATAAATTTCATGAGGCTGATAAGCCAATTAAGTGGGAAAAAATATGACACGGTATTTATTTATTTATTTATTTATTTATTTCAAATGGCAGGCTTTGTGATATTTATCATTAGCCCTTAAACTTTGACTTCAGCTTCCCCCAAGGGTGGGGTGGGGTACATTTATAGCAGTTAATTGATAGCAGTTCATAAGCCGTCTTCTTGCTTCCCAGTATCTCTGACTTTCCGTCGTTATCTTTAGAGTAGGACATCGAATCAGATGGGTCTTCTCCATTTCCTCCTGTTGGTTACATAGAGGGCATGTGGGTTGAGTGTATACTCCTAATCTGTGAAGGTGTTTTGCCAAGCAGTCGTGTCTGGTACGTAGTCTAAACTCAGCAACGGCTTTGATTCTTGGCCAGTCGGCTATATCGGAGATTGCCGCTGTCCACTTTTTCTTCTTTGTTCGAGTTTTACGTTTGTTGCACCTTGAAATCTTGAATTCTCTTCTGATTAAGGCCTTCAACAGGATAGGTGTTGATTTTATCCCTCCAGTAATTAGTCGTAATGCTTGGCCGTCTATTCCTCTAGTAATTAGTCGTAATGCTTGGTTGTGTGCCTTCTCGTATTGGTTTGAGAGTCATCTCTGTGGTTGTAATGAGTGGTTCACAGCAATACAACATTATTGGCTGAATATTTCACAGCAATACAACATTATTGGCTGAATAAACATCTTGTAAGTGGTGCTGGGAGTTGAGCGAGCACAACCCCATTCGCTACCAGCAAGACGCTTCAGTACATTCTGTTTGTTGGAGACTCGTTCTGCTATTTTAGCAATGTGACTTTTCCACGTTAGCTTCGTTTCAAAAGTCATTCCGAGAGATGTGAACTCATTGATTTTTTTCTATGGAAGTATCCTTGTACCTTGGAAGTGGGTTTATGCTGTAACGGGCCAAAGAAAATGTTTGGAATGCAGTTTTCGCGATGTTGATTGCCATTCCATTGATGTTGCACCAGTTTGTAAGTAGTTTAAGTGCACAATTTAGAGCACTTTCCGTCCTCTTTTGAGCGTTTTTCTTAGGGGTGCGCGTTAGACTTACCTCCACGTGATGCACTCTGGACAACGTATCTTCGTACGGCAAAAAATTCTATCACTCGGCATTTTATTTGACTTCGATCTATATGACACGGCATAAATCATTGGTCTTTTAAGGAATATATGTGCGTCCGGCCAACAACATTTTCGTAGGCATGCTTCAAATTCCCACTAAACAAAAGAGAAACTCTCTATGTTTAACTGGAAGGTAGAATGTGTATATTGTTCCTACTTCGCAACTTTGAATTGGGTATTGAATTGTCTTGAGCCCACTTCTAAGTTATTCCAAAAAAATATGGAATTCGTGACTTATTAGCGGAGTGAGCTATATTTGTTCTTGTTATAATAAAAAAAGTAATTTTCAAATTTCATTCCCAAACTTAAGACGTTTCATTATACGTATGTCTTAGCAAGATCCAACGTTGGGACATGCACGTGAGTCACATGTCGAAGTAATTTCCTGAATGTGGGTTGCGAAAAGTTTGTGAAAGCCATTGTTTGGAAATGCACATTTTGAGCTGCATGTCTCAAATGAATTGTAACTAAACCGTGCAAATTTAGTCTATCAATTGAAAAATTTATGCTTCCTTAATCTTCATTCAAGTGTACCAGTAAGAACAAATCACCTCTATGAAGAGCAAAAATGATATATCAGTATCGAGGGTCATAGAATACTTGGTTCACTCGAGATTGCTAAGATTCTCCGTTTCTATTTTGTAATTGAAAGTGTAAAACTCCAGAATGCTATCACAGTTGTCATCTGAGGGGTGAGTGTCAAATCGATCACTGTGTTCGTACTAAAAACAGTAGCTAAAACTAAATCTGAGCCAAAATTCCCAATAGCGAAAATGTTCTCGAAAACACCCAAGTCACCTCAACAATTTCGAGGATACTGCAACATAGTGCTTGTCACAGTGTATTGCATGCGACTTAGACAAATCTTAATCAATACAATACAAAATGTGTGACGCTTTATTGGCCAAAGCACCGTGAAGTCTGATTTCCACTCCAGAGTCCCTTAATTTCACAACCCAACTTCATCTCCCCAACATACCTTATACTGAGAGCTACACGCACATCATCAATTCCCCCCTTTGATGTGCCCTTTCGATTACACAGACAGCAGACTACGTTTAAGATAAATGATAAATAGACCAATGGTTGACTTTCTTAGATCTCCCTGACAATCAATAAGTTCGATTGCGAGGATTGTACATTCTTTCAATTGCCCTCTTGTCGTGCTGTGGATCGGCGAGTATTTAGCCACTAATCGAGTTATACAAGTCCCATTTCATACCAACTACTCTCATCAAACCGCTCTTGCGATTAAAACCTAATTTTAAATGCATGCCTACCGTAATTCATTAAGTAAGATAGTCAACACTTCAGGACTCCAGAGATAGACGATGTTAGGTTGAAACGTGATTCCATCCAAGTCAACCTCAATTTGCCACATGCACTGGTAGTTCAATGAGTTTGCAAAATAGTAGAAGTTTGGAACTAGGAATTGGCATCAGTAGAAGCAGATGTGTTGGACACAAGTGATAAAGTATATTTGAGTGATAAGGTCGACTAAGCGATTAAAGAAATGCTCAACTTAAATTTTGCCTGATTTGGCAAATTGGCTTTCTACCACATTGTTAATGAGTAGATTTAATCGTATGTGTGTACTATGTCTAACTCCATCTCTAATTAGGCAATTCACCATTTTTAATGATCATTTTTGTTTCCCTTGGTTTATAGAATTTCTCATTTAAGGAGAAAATAGTAAAATGGTTTTTCCTTAAAATGCAAGAAAACTCATTTAATAAAACCTTACAACAATTTGTCACTTGTAATCGCCAAATGTTTTTAAATACAATGAAATTTATCGCCTTCCTTGTCAAGAACCACATTTAACATCCTTGGCCATTACACGAAAGACAAGTCGAGATTCCACATATCCAAATAGGAACTATCGGTGCTAACCTGAAAATCCGTGATTTATTTTTTTAGATTTTTAACTACTGAATTTAATAATGAATGTGTTGATTTCGCCTTAGATAAGGTAGTGATTTAATCATCACGGAGTAATCACCGTGATGTCATATAATCTAAGGGGAAGTAAAATCGATGTCGATAATTAAGACAACGACTAGGGAAATATAGGAGATGCTGGCATAGAGATTTCTGAGTTGGTCAAGACTTCACTAGTGTAACAATCCTCTACACATGTTAGACACACAACATCTGTAGTTGCAATAACAACGAAAGCACAGATATAAAAGGCATTTACTTTATTTCTGTTATTATAATAGTCTTGCATGGAAACATTCTCATCAGAGTGTGCGTTGAACATTTTTACATATTTCATAGTGGTAAAATAATTCCTTTTTCTCGAAATTGTCTTAAAATTCAATATGAAGTTCATTATTCGCACAATGACATGTCTGCCTTTCACATATAACACAATATTACTTAATATTCATTTGGAAGACATTTGATTAAGCCATTAACGTATTGCCTCGTTAAGTGAAAATATTATGTGCATATATATATATATATATATATATATATATATTCTAGAAATAAAAGACCATTTCCAGAGGAGAATTTAGACTTCAGGCACATACTCTTTTTTTACCTGTGACTATTGCAGTTAGGGCCAACAGTAAATTTAATGCATTTAATTACTACCGATATACTCAAATAATGGTGATTCTTTAAACGAATTCTGTTAAAGATTTGGTAGTATTTATAATCAAACAAGTTTAGGAAGGGTGGGATGGTGAGAGAGTGTGTTTGAGGGGGGGGGGATTTAGAACGCAATTGTCAACTTTTGAGAATGAAATTTTGGCATATACCACATTTTAAAGAACAAGTTGATGTTAATAAATCAACTTCAAATCCCTTCAGTTACATGCATTTGTACATCCAAAAGTAATTGGAGCAAAGCGGAATTGTCTGGAGTCAATAAAGTTGACTTACTTGTCCACATGGTGCATTAGATGCTTTCCTTTAACAAAGCGACTACTTTGTTGCTTGAAATTCAAGGGAAGGGAGAGTTCTTCATTCCTTTTTGTCGAATTAGGCAAACTAAGGGGGGAATATTTTAGTGGGGAGAAAATTTGCAACTCTTGGACTTAGCGCGATGTCAATTAGCAAATTAGAATTAAACAATTTGAAAATCCTCATTTTAGTATTACTCTTACATTGGCGATTTCAATCAAATTGTTGCAATCAAACTGTGAACTAAAGGAGAACTTATGTAGGGCGTTTTTGAAGGTATAATTCAATTAAGGATTGCCTACTGTCAAGCTTGCCAAGATTCATTTCTGCAGTCACGTTGCATTTGGTGGTTCTCGATCGAATTCCAACATGCAAGAAGTCAATCCAAATCTTACTTGAGGTGTGAAAAAATAAAGAGGCCTATCAAATTGAAAAGAGAGGTAACACTGACACACTCACAATGCACACGAAGTATGGCTTATCTTGTGCACACATTTTTAACACCCAACTCACTGCGTAAAGATGGAAGATGAAATCATTTATTGTACTCCCTCTGATGAAACGGCACTTTCAATTCCACCAAAGTTCTTTAACCAACTTCGACAAAATGGACATCTCATTGATTTACACATTATTGTAGGTGGCATGCTGAATCTCTAATTTTACAATAATTTATTTATCTCTAGACAAAGGAGAATTACAAGAGTCCAGTTCACCGATCATTCCTTTGTGCCCAGTTTCCTAGAATTATAAATCAATTATTGCAGAATCAAGGTCCCACTATGAAATGGCACCGTTACACTACCGAGTACATCCAAATATTCTTTCTTTCATTCACTGTCGATTCATTTCAGACTTGTCGTATCTGTGATAGACTTTGTCTACACAGGCAAAATTGGTATTAGCTTGCGCACGGTGTGTCAGATCTATTTATTGGCACATCAACTTGGATCTCAATCTCTACTTAAAGTTTGTCGGAACTTTATTAAAGACAGGTGAGTGATTGTCCAATGCAATTCATATATGCAATGCCATTGGACTTCGTGTTAAGCACACAGAGGCATATATTTTATAACACGCCCTTAATACTATAGAGAAGTGGAAACCACATGCCTAAAGGCGACTTCATTGGCAGTTCAAATTTTCTATGAAGAACTTCAGAACCATGAATTTAGAGAAAGTGAGAGTCATCCTATGCAAGAAATGTCACTTCAGAGATCAAAAGGATGAAACAGTCTCCATCCCAAATTGAAAGATAATGAGTTGAATTGGAAAAGGTGACTAGGTCATGATTGGTGGCGACAAGTGGTAAGAAAAGAGTTATTAAATTGAAAAAAGTCGAGAGGGCGGGGGGGAGGGGGCAGAAGAGTATTTCAAAGATGCAAAAGTGACATTCACAAAGGTGGATGAAAGGTGAGGTGAGTGCTGTGAAAGTGGTGGAGTATGACATACAGTGTGGTGATGGTAGTTTGAAGTCAGAAGTTAACTTCCGATTTATAGACTTTTTTTGCCGTATGAGTATACGTTGCCCAGGGAGTACCACGTGGGGGTAAGTCTATTGGACACCCCCTGTGCACTAATATAAGTTTTCCAATTTCGAGAATAATAAGTAAACTGGAACGAAATCATTTCCAAGGACAATAACCTTCAGAAATAAACATTGCAAGTCAAAGGTGTATATTGGGTTTAAAGGCCACAGAGAACTCCTCGTCGAAACAATAAAATTTAAGCACCCACATTCTTATTACGCATTAGTAACATTATAATAACAATAGTAATAATCCCATGTAAATGACCTTAACCCGACTCCAAAAGAAAGACAGGTTGTGACACATTCTCATATCCCGTCTTTTTTTATTTTTTCAATGCAAGTTGGTGTACCGAACGCAGGTCATGATGGAGACAAATTAAAGGAGAATGCCAACTGCGTTATGGGCTCATTTAGTCTGAAACTCTGATCAAATCTTTGTGTTTGGAGGGGAATTAAGGAAGGAGGAGGAGGTGGCGCTTTTAGTCCTGTCATCTCAAATCTGGAATGCTAAGCGGCAGAGTGAAAATCGGGGTGGCAAAGTTGACGAGAATTCGGGGATATTAGTGGTAGTACACGTGGACACACAGTTGCACACAGGACGACATGCAATACAGAATTATGGGCTCACTCAAACACTTGGGCAAATCTAATTAGGAAAAGTGAGGGATCGGGTTTGAGGTAGATGTCTGTCAGTAAGTTGTGAACAGTCTGGCGCAAGGTGAAAATCAGAAGAGAAAAGATGGGACGTGCTGTCAGAAGCTGATGAATAGTTATTTATGACGCTTTGAAAAGATGGCATCCACTCTAAAGCTCGTGGCGGCTCTACGTAAGAATTTGGATGTCTTGTAGGACTGAAAACGCGAGAAACACTCCCGGGACCTTGAACAGAAGCGGCGTCGTAAATGCTCATTTCAGTAGGTGTTGGTGACTACAAAAAATCAAGGAGTAATCGATTAACTACTTAATCAATACAAGTAGCAACTTATATGAAAATACAAACCATGATTTCAGGGGTTCTTGGGGAATATCTGGGACGGTTAGGATGGCTAAAATTGCAAAGATTTAGTTTAACACACACCCTGGTAAGAAAAGAGTACAATGAAATGAAAGAATAGGAAGAGAGGGGAAGGTGTGAGTTGTGAGATGTGTAACGGTCGACAGATATTGTCTCATTAGTCGTTGATAAGCAACAGATAAAATGCGAATGTACGTTTACTAACGTGGAGTCGATTTGCTTAACTGTGAGTGATCGTGTCTATACCATAAGTCATTCGCTCACCTTCTCTTATTTTAGATTCGATCAAATGATTGCCAATGAAATTTGGGTGATTAGTAATTTTCTAGGCAATCGTGGTTTGAGAGAGCAGTGTATTCGCAGGATTGCAAGTGACTTTGATTCCTTTGCCAAGGATGAGAAGTGCCTACAATGGACAACAGCGAAGGACATGGAGACTCTTCTGGGTAGCCCCTGGTTGTGGGCTCCAAGTGAAGGCTCGAAGTTAGAAGCAATAGCTTCATGGATAAATGCAGCTCCTTCTTCATGTGAAAGAGACACTCGCGAATCGTTCTTAGCACATCTTCTCTCAAGACTTAATGTTAACAAACTTTCCCGATCCTTAATCGCTGAGACGGTTATGGGAGAGTCAAGCATTATTCTTTCCGACAAGTCAAGGTATATGATGTAATTAAATTTGAGTTTATTTTCTTAAGACACACACTTCTGGATTACTTGAAAATGTGTGATAAATCTGAGGAAAATAAGTGAGTGTTTTTCAAACGATTCACTGACAATGTAAATTGTGACTTTATTTTTTAACAGGAAGAGAGAAAGAATCTTTGTTCTTGGAACATACGGTGAAACAGAGGACACTTTCAAGTGTTTTTTATCAGCTGTTCCAAATGTGAAGAAAGTTGAAGAAGAATTGAAAATTCCTTTCATATTGGACAGCTGCGTAGTTGCTTGTGATGGTAAGTTGCAAGTTCAACACCGTCTTGTGTGCCAACACCACACAAGTCCTACTCTGATCTCTCCTTCATTTTAGAATATATCTATGTGATTGGAGGTAGTATAGTGGGAGGTGGCGCTTGTTCTCATGTTTTCAAGGTAGATCCCTGCAATGGCGAGGTAAAGGAGAAAAATGTAATGGCTCAGAGTAGAGCTTATGCTTCTGCAGTTGCTGTCGAACATGAAATTCTTGTTTTTGGAGGATATGCCAATGCTGAATATTTGACCTCCTGTGAGAAGTATTCCCTATTGAATGACAAGTGAGTTTAGGATGTTTTTGTCGTGATAAGGTAATCTTAATATCATCGATTAGTTGATTGATACACCCTAGGTGTTTGGGATCAAAGCTTCTGTTTCCAGTCCTCATGCACTAATTTCAGGTTTATAGAAAAGTGAATGGCCATGTGTTTGGGAACTTGTTGTTTCCATGAGGAGGTGCTTATTTTTCGTCTTCCAGTCCCACGTTTCTTCTGTGATTTCAACAGAATATGTGCTCCAGAGGTGTGAGAATGATTACAAATGTATTGATCTATTGTTTGACTTGGTGACCACACATAGTTGGAGTTGAATAGAGACAATCATAAAAGTTGTTTGAGAAAGCAGAATGTTGAGTTGGAGTGGAAAATAAGGGATCGCCCAAATTCCTCACCAACATAATACTAATTCCATTATGATATTAGTATTGTAATATAACTGTTATTACGACTCACCGATAGTTATTGGCATATGTGTTTTGTGGGTTTCGAGGTCATTGAGGCGAATTTGTGTATTGCAGATGGAAAGGACTTCCCGATATGCCAACAGGCAGAAGTGATAGTGGAGCGGTATACGTGCCGAATCTTGGAGTATTAGTTCTTTCAAAGTTCTGCAGAAAATCCAACCTGGTGCTCATTCACTCCAATGTTGGTGGCAAGATTCCGCCCTGTTGTAGAATTCTTTCAAGGATGTGTTTACATTGTTGGTTCCCAGTCTGTACGCCCACATTCTGCTGAAGTTCTTTGCATAACCGATGGACGACATGGTCAGTGGACGCTGATTTCGCAATCACTTTCCATAAAACGCGATATAAGTTCAATTCTGGCAGTCAGTGACCATCTCTACGTTGTTGGTAAGTATTTTTATATTTCTATTTCGTTCTCACAATTCAACACCATCTCTTTCAAAGTTAATTCTATAAACAGCTGATGGGGGAAATGTTTATGAACTGGAAATGCCACATGAAGAAAACGTGAGTGCAATCACATCTCATTCACTACTTAACTGAGAATCAATAACTGTTGAAATGCGTACATGTTGTAGAATGGAGAACAAAATGACTACAATTGGAGATTCCGATTTCGAGTTCAAAGCGGGACGGATCTATGGCTTCTAAAAGTACATTTGAGCGCTTAATTCCTCACATGTAACACCACTAGTCGTTAATGCTAAATAAACTTTTGTATAACATGTGATTTAAATTTAATAAACGTTAAATTCTTCATTTTTTCACCAGATTAACAATTTGTGACTTTATAACCAATACTCATTTTTTTCCTTTCACTCCAATTTTGAGACTTGTCCCAATGATTTGTTAATTTTTCTATGCGCGTTAACAACGACTTCTTCCAATGATTACTATGCTGCTTACCTCTATTGAATAAGCTGGGAATTTATTTTTAACAAATGAAAATTTACTTTCTCTGATTTACATTCCCACTTCACATAAATATCTGTTCATTATTGGTGCGGAGCTCACAGCGCTGCCCTTGGTGAACAGTGGAATCTCAAGTGCACTCAGGCTGTCTCGAAGGTGCACAGTGCATCTTTGCGCATTGCGAACAGCCTGAAACAGCCAATCAAAAGTACTTGCGTTGTTTAGAAACCCCATCTCCTCCACTCAAAGTATTTCAGTGAATAAACTCCCTCTCTCTAACACATTTATCGGCTAAACGTATTTCACAAAGCGGGACTTAGTTCAATTTACATTTGAAGAGTTCTGGAACGTTACAACTCAGCAAACGTTTTTTACACGTAGTTATCGACAAATGTAATGGCAACCCAAGTGAATTTCTCCTTGCAGTGATTTCAGGAAACCCATATTGTCTACATAAAAATGGAGAGAACACCCATTCAACCACCAATTAAGAGACCACGATTGGTTCAGCTAAACCTTCAGTGACAAGAAAGACTGGGCTCCTGCCTGTAACACACTTTCCTAATTAACGCTCTTCTCTATACGTCCTTTTTCTCAAATATACACTTTGATTGCTAGACATGTGCATTGCTCTTTATATCAACCGCTGGCTGAGGTCAGGAAAGGATATTGAAAGCTCTTTCAACTTGTCAACCTTACGACATAGAAAGCAACTCATGTAAAAATTGAGCAATTACCTTACCTTTTTAGTCATCTAGTGACACTCACACAATGGAACTGATTCTCAGTGGTCCTCTTGTTCATTTAATCCATCACAATTCTAGAAATGTCGTAATGAATTAAACGCAAGCTGCTTCAGCTTATGTACACCACTAAGCCGAGACCTCTCATATTTCTGCATATCTAAATAAGTTGAAGAGATTTTGGTGCAATTTAAAATTCGGGCACATATGTTTGATAAATGGTGCTTAGCGGGTTGGTAAGAATTTCGACTATTACAATAATCACTTGTCATATTTGGCATGGTGAAGAGTAACGCATTGGAAAAGACAAAGAAACCTTCTGGAA